CAGAAAACAAAGCATCTTCTACTATCAATGGAACAAAAAACAATACACTGTTACTATTCAAAACGTATGACAAGTGTGGAGCTGATTTTAGTGAACAAGAATACCAGAGTTCAGAAGTTGTTAACAAGATTGATCGAAGAACAGTATGACTGAGATATTTGATTAGATGTCTTTAAAAAGAATCTTGCTTTAGATTGATATTCTGTGCATAATCTATGTTTGCATAGGTATTTGTTCAATACTTACTTTGATTATTTTGCTCGATCAACGACGTATAACATCTCGTGGTAGAATATACTTTTATGTGTCATCTAAAATTTTCATTGATATCTATAGATGAAATTTCAGTTATGCTTCGTAACTCGGTGAAATTACTCATCTCAACTATCAAACATATGCGTCATATCAATCAACTTCTTCTCATTCCAATGACTATATGGGCAGGTCTTGAGCTAACATTTCTTTTTGCACAATTTACCCAAGTGAGTGTTCGTATTTTTCTTACTGCAAATGGTAAATGGTTTGTCCAATTTTATGATTAGGCTTTTGTTTCGTGTGCGATCAATCCTAAATATGTCGGTCTTATCATGATTGCCTTTGGAGTATGTGATTCTATTGGTAGTTTCGTTTTTGGTCAACTTGTTAAACTAGTTGGACGTTGGCCATGCTTTGCGATTGCTACATTGATCAGTTATGCAATGATAATAACCATGCTCATTTGGCACCCGTTGGCTGATCAAATAGTTGTTCTTTTTATCATAGCTGGTCTTTGGGGAGTGGCCGATGCCGTTTGGCAATCCCAGACTAGTGCTTTGTATGGCGTCTTATTTACTGACAATAACGAAGCAGCATTTTCAAATTATCGCCTCTGGGAGTCGGTTGGTTTTGCTCTCTTCTATATTCTCATTCCTCGTATACGTACTCGAATCACTCTTATTATTCTCCTCGTGTTTCTTTCAGTAGGCATCAGTGGTTATGCATTGGCCGAGTATCTATGGCGAACAAGTGAAGAAAAGAAAAAGAATACTAAGAACAATCAAATATCACCATCGTGAGAATTATCAGAGAATAGACATTGTTTTACATAAAAAACATTTATCTATCGAACTAATATTATATTCGCGTTGCAACATTATATATGTATAAAATAGATGCATGTAAATGAGTATGTTTACACAAGCTATTAACTCTGCGCTATAAAAGTGCCATTTTTTTCTCACGAGGGTGTGGGTGTGGATGTGGATTTTTTCTTCAATAGTACCCACACCCCTCAAACAAAAATTAGGAAAGTGACATTCTTTAGAAAAAGAGTCAATTGATACAATTAGGGTTGAATTGCGCGCTTAAATAGAAGATCATCAGAATTTTTTCATATTAAAAGTCTTAATCAAAAGTAACAACCTTGATCTTCAGTATATCCGTGATTTACAAGAAAGGATTGGAGCTGAATAACAATCTGGTTTATTGATAAACGACAACAGAGGAAAACGACTGTCTACACTATTTGACTATATCTATTATAAACAGGAAGCACTACGATTAAAAGTAAAAAGGAACACATCAATCATGTTAATAGCCTATCTCATTGGGATAAATGCAAGAGGAGGGAGAGTGGTGAGAGATAGCACGTGTCTTCAGCGCTTTGAATGGAATGTGTAGATAAATTTTGTTGCCAGCTGAGTTAGTCTAAGGGTCAAAAGCTTACAGAAGTCCAAAGCATTTATCATTTACAATACTGGTACGACTTCTTGTTTCTGGTGGCGCACTAGTAGTCTCAATATTTCGCCACTAGTCTGCTCATATGCGAGAATGAATAAGTTGGCTGTATTGAATTTACTTCTCTAAGATGATCAGAGGTTAAAAGAGTGCATTTAATATCTGTGTAACGCGCTTTTGCGATTACTCACCGACCTCAGTTAAATATTATAATCAATAAATCTTTCAAAAACATGACTATCTACATAGATAAGTTATGTGACAACGAAAGCATATCACAAATCACTTTTTTTTTTACTTTTTACCCTCTTTTTTTTGTTAGAAGTAACCAAGTATGTATTTGACCAATTTGCGAGTGATCTATATATTTACAGTTTATAAATATAGAAGACATATGCTTTTATTGACTCAAGGTTTGTTATTGATTCAAAGGCAAAAAAAGAAGTGTGTAATAAATTATCAATGAAATATTTCATATTGCACTCAAATTACTATAAAAAAAAGGCTTTTAGTTAAAGTAATAAAGCAATCGCAAAAAAAATGAAACTGCAATCAACACCTATACTTTTCGCACTCATATTGATGACCGTTCAAGCCCTTGCAGATTCTCATCCATTCATCTGTGAAAAACATCAGTCTCCTCTCTCAAATTCGTCATCAAAGTATGCTCAAACCGTTATTGGTCATGGTTCACGTGGTCCTCTATCAGCTTCCTGGGAAATCGGTATTAAAATCACACTAAATGATGTTTCAAAAGGTCCAGTTGATCTTCCATTAAATGAATCAAAAGAGAAATGTAACACTGGTAAAATGCTTGCATCGTGGAATACAGTCATTTTAAAAGAACCGTTAAGATATGAAAGAGATTCAACAAATAGATTTTTTCGTACAAAACGTCTACGCGATATTATTAACGAAGAAAGTAAGTGCTGTGATACTCATATGTTTTGAAACTTTCAAGTACATTTTATTCCTATCTCTCTCCAGATCCAGAAACTGTTGGTCCATGGATAGAAGCTGGCTGTTCTCTTTTGCCAACAAGATGGATGAATTATTCTTCTACACCACCAGCCTATACAGTTGTAGCAATGATTTGTTACGATTGTACACCAATAAGACATGGCGAATATCAAGAATTATTTGCTTGTGAATGTTAGGCGCAACATTACCTCAAGAGTAGATTTTAAGTTTTGTAGTTAAAATTTTTTCTTTAAATATCAGTTTTTTACAAAATCCTATGTTCTATCTTACAATAGTATGTTTTTTTGTTGATGTAACTTTGAAGTAACAGGCTGAGAACTAGCTAAAGGTAGTACAAGCTACCTCTTTCCTGAATTTTAGTGATATGATTCTTTTCTGCATTAGACGACTGTAATCTCACATATCTGTTCCTGTATAGTGTCAAATACGTTCCCTATAGTAAATACAGAGTTTACTCTCTCTTTTAGATCATGTCAACTCGTCGTAGTTCTGCTTCTCAGACAACCGGCATATCATTTTTACTACCACGGGATTTTGTTGATAATTCAACAACCATCAAATTAACCTTGCCTAAATCTTCATTTTGGTTTATGTCATTGAAAGATATACTGAAAGTTATCGGTGTGCTCTTAGTTCCTTTGATGTTAGGGGTTGTAACTCTAACATTAACTATTCAAAACACTAAAGATGCAAAGGAAAATCGTGCAAAAGATTTAGATATTGCACAACGTCAACGTGAACAAACTGCTTACTTGGCTGAGGAAGAAAGACAAAACAAGCGTTTAGCGGAATATTTAAATGCTATATCTTCATTAATGTTTTCAAATCAAACATTAGATCCTCTGTTACGTGCAAAAACTCTGAGTGTTCTACGACAATTAGATGTGCAACGAAAGCGTGAAGTAATTCTATTTCTATATGAAGCTAAACTGATTCGAACCGATATGAATTCTGGAATTCCAATTATTTCATTACAAGATATAAATTTAGATAATATTGACTTTAATGATTTACGATCACCATATACACAGCTTACATCAAACTTCTATTATCATACACATATGTCTTTACGTGGTGTTTCTCTACGAAATGCATCGTTTCAAAGACGAACTATCTATGGATCAGATTTGGCACAAACTGATTGTACACATGCAGATTTTAGTTCAGCAGATTTATTCGAAATTGACTTTAGTTATGCAAAATTAATTGAATGTAATTTTGAAAATGCACGTTTCGATTCTGCTAATTTACAGAATGCTAATTTATCACAGTCAAATATTACAGATGAACAGCTAGCTACAGCACTTACATATCAAGGTGCAATCTTACCGAATGGAACGATAGCGAAAAATAAAAATCTGTTGATTAACGATGATTGTATTAGTGGCCACAGTAAAAATTTATCCGGAACACATTGGATGATTATAAATGGAAGTGTGACAGTGCAATTATTAAATGATAACTGTTACTTTGTTTCCTATGATTTAGAACTCTCTATGATACATCAAAGAATTGATTTATACAATTATCTTCCTTGGATTCGTAGAAATCGTACTATATATCTATTTAATTCGTCTGTGTACACTTATAGAGATCAGAACATCAATAGTTATATTATTATTAATATCAGAGAGTTATCAACTAATGGTACGGAGTTGGAGAAACAAACAATATGTACGTGCCTAATTTTTTTTTCTAAAATATGAGTTTGACTGAAAATATCTTTTTCCTATTTACTTTAGGTCAACAAGCAGATAGTCGTTTCTGCGATGGAAATTCAAAAATGTGTATAAATGGAATTTGTTCTTTTGACGATGAACTCGATACAACAAATGAAAAAAGTACATACAGTGTTGATATCGAAGTTTTATTTGTAAACAAGAGGAAAAGGAATGATCCACCGTTACCCTCTTCCGATAAAGCATCGATATCAGCAATTTTAAATGATATAAAATTCTATGTATTTGTTTTTGAGTCCTAATGAAAAGGAAAAGAAGCTTGCTCTTCGAAAATTGGCAATGGCTTTTGTCTAAATAACGTAAAGAAGCATATTTGTAGAAGTGCATTGTGTTGCTTTTGCTAACCTTCTGCTAACATGACATGACCATGATAGTCAGCACAATCGGTGACCTATGTCTTGACACATTTCCAACTGGCCAGGTTCGATATTCATCAAAAGCTATCTTTTCTGTGAAACCTCGACAAGTTAGGAATGAAAAGCGATATATAACATTTTCGTTGTAACTATAATTTCTCATGATTATACATACTTCGATCATCTGTCATCTCCCCAATCTTCTTTGCGTGTATTTTTTCATTATATTGCGATTTTGTTTCTTATTTGCTTCTTCACTTTTGAAATCAATTTTTGTCAAAAGATGGACGAACAGCAATTTAACGCAGCCTATGTTCTTGCTTTATGCTTCTGTAGTACTTGTAATACACCCAAAATGTTCTGTAGCGTCGTTCTTTCTACAATCTGTATATTTATTCTTAAGACAACTCGAGAAGAAGATATAGATAAATCATATGTCTCTGTCTTCCTCCAGCGAACCAAATGGGTTGGATGTTAAGCAAACTTATTTTACTATATTAATATAAAACAAGCTCAACAGCAACTGAGAACGACACGAAGTCTAGCTACACATTAAAAACATTTTTTATGAATTATAAAACATGACAAAAAAAAATTTGAATCTTTGTTCATCACAAAATAGAGTACAGTCAACCAATAAAAAATCACTCAGCTTCAATGAAATCTCATGCTTTATCTCATACCTAAACGATTAGCCCTATAACGCTCTCTATAATCCAGAGCTTAATTAACTCATAGCTCTTGACCCTTCTCTGCCTGACATTATCTCAACCGCTACTGTCCATCGATTGAATGTAGTACACATAGAAACTCATACACACAAATGTATTGTAAATAACGTACCACACAACAATAAACAGATTCCCAATGGCCAACTGTATCTCAATCTTCCTGTAACGTAGCGTTACTGTTGTATACAGAGTAATTGCAAAAGATGTCGCTGTCTGAATTAAAAAACAAAGGATTTGCATAATTAACATCTGTACTAGTTGAGTGTCTAAACGTCGTGATGTAGTAGTAGTCGGCTATGTTGTCTGTAGATTTCGATAGATCGTGTAGCCAAATATGGTTAATGTTACGAAAGATATGATTGTGATAACAACGGTAACTAGAAAGTAAACTCCTTATATCTAGTATGATTGAGATGGTATACACAAATGATAGAAGAAGAATGAAGAGGCTGATAAAAGCAATTGATATTTTTGCAATTTTCATGGAGGGTGTGGGGTATGGGTATTCGTCATCTGTTCATTTAAACTCACACCCGCACACCTACATCCACACCCTTCTTTTAGCAAAAAATGGCGCAAGTGCATAAAAGAAGACATGTCGTTATCAAAGATGGTTGCGTATGCTTATGCAACGAAGATGTAGTGTGTTGATAAAACATTTTTTACCGCGTTATTGTTATCAGAAGAGTTTAAAAAAAGGTAAGTTCGCTTTGTCTTGATGCAAAACGAGGTTTGTCTACTGCGAAAGTTTACTTGAAATACATAAGATCATCGAAAGAAATTTTCCAAAAGGGATCATCAGCATCGTGTGCATTTTTCAAGTAAAGTTGGTCCTTCTCTTCATTTAAAAAAAACTTTCGTAACATCTGAGTAAGTTGGCACATGGAAAAAAGGTCTAGTGAGGTTTTTGTTCTTCTTCTGCTAGAAGTGAAGAATGTTCAGAACGATCAGAAGTGTTCTACAATTTCACCGCAGTTCAATCATAAGGCATCTCACGCAGTTTATCGTGTTACTAACAACGATCGTAACTATCATGGCAACAACGCAAGATGACTTCGCTACTGTGAGGGAGAACGTTCGCAGGATCATGCTATGGCCTACATCAGACCAGCTTCCCGCTATTCTTGCACAAGCAACTGGTAATTTGAGTACTCTCGACCGAACTACCTGTCAATGGCCTGATCTGAATTATACGACTCGTGGACCAGAAAATTGGGATCCAGTTTTGCATATGTTTCGTACCTGGACTATGACAGCAGCGTTAACTGTACCCGGTGGAATGACCAACGACACAGAACTGTCATCTGCCATTCACTGTGCACTGAAAGTATGGCTAGAGCAAGATTGGCAAAATCCAAATTGGTGGTGGAATACTATACAAGATCCGCTCGTTGCTTCAGGTATTATGCTTATGATGGGTGTGGAGCGACTGAGCTCAGAAGAAGTGAGTGCTATCACCAACATGTCATACCGTGCTAATTGGTGGATCAAAGACTGGGGCGGTGGCGCTAATCTAGTGTGGGAACTACAAGTGCAGCTTTTTCGTGGACTGGCTACATCCAACTACTCAGCGGTGGCACAGGGCTTCGATCTCATGTGGCAGACCATGCAGATGCAGAATCTCTCGACCTGGGGAATACAAACAGATTGGTCGTATCATTTTCACGGTTCTCAGCTACTCACAGCTGCATATGGTGATGCTTGGGCAACGAACATTCTACATTTTCATCTGGCTACACGTGGCACTCAATATGCGTTATCAAAAGATCGCATTGAAATATTTGGTCGCTTTTTAACGCGAGGTGACGCATGGTTCACCATGGGAAGTGTATGGACATGGGGTATCCTCGGTCGCGTCATCGATCGTGGTGTACATGTATGGTACACTCATCTATTTTCACCGGATCGACTACGTGCATTAGCAATGGATGTTACGAACACTTCCACTGCTATAGCACTACGTGACTATGCCGATCGACTTGAACATCGTCATGAGACACCACCACTAGTAGGAAATCGTCATTTCTATACGAGTGATTTTCAGGTACACCGTAGAGCTAACTGGACGATTGCATTGAAGATGCATTCCGTACGAACCATTGCTACGGAATGTCTAAATGGTGAAAATTTGAAAGGTGAACATATAGGTGATGGTGTGCTTAATCTATACACTCGTGATGCTCAATACGGAAATGGTGAAGAGTATGAGAATATTTTTGCCTTACTTGATTGGCAAGCAATCAACGGCATTACGGTAGAAGTCGATATACCTCTACTACCGTGTCATTCTCAGTTCTCTATGCGAAAGACAACTTTCGTTGGTGGTGTTAGTGATGGCAACTATGGTGCAGCGATGATGGATACGGCTACACACAATCTCACAGCTAAACGAACATGGCATTTTTATGATGATTTCATCGTGGCATTAGCTGATGACATTCAAGATAACACTAGTGCTCTACTTCAGACGGCCGTTGTAAGCAGACTACTACCACCCGCAAGCACAGCAGCAGGACAGCTAATTGTGCAATGGAGCAATGGAACTAAGATGGTGTTAGCCGATGGTGTATACTCGTTTCCACCTTCCGAACCACGTCTGTTATGGTTTCATGCTGATAACACTGCATGGATGGTGTTGGATGATTATGCTGCACTAACTATTGACTGTCGTAATAAATCTGGTAATGTCAATCAGTTGGGTCCCTGGAATTTTGAAATGCAGGGACGTTTGCTCACCGCCACTATCGTTCATGGCAGGGGACCTACAACTGAACCGCTAAGTTACAAATACACAATAATGCCTAATGTAACAGTTGATGCAGTACCAGCACTTTGGAATCGGTATATATCATGGGCTGATAGTGCGTATACACTAAAACACTTACAGAACGACGATACCATGCTGCATTTGCACGGCAGTTGTGATCCATTCACTCGGCGAGCATCTGTTGTGCTGTTCGATAATGCTTCGACTGCCAATGATGGTGTCTATTACAACTGCAGTGATCTATCACTAAGTTTTTATCTGGAACAAGCAGGCGCTTTTCTCTATAGCGAGGATTCTGATAGCTTTACTATTACTGCATCGCATCCAACACTTGCACAAGGAACTCTCGCTATCAGTGTCAATCGGGATAGCGTTACCAGCAAAGGTTGTAGTCGTGACATGCGCTGGGGATCACAAGTCGGCACACAAGTAACGATAACTCTTCCAGGTAGCAGTGAGCTGCTTGGCATGAGCGTGTCAATCACTTGCAAGAAATCTAGCGTATAGATATATACTACATGAAATCCGATAAGATCAACACATTAACAAAAAAAACTACTTATCATATGCCGATTCACTGACATTTCGTTTGAATAAATATAAAAAAACATCATCATAATATAAAGTTATTGCATTCTTTGGTCAACTATTACCAAAAAAATAATGTTTTTCAGAAGAATAGCTTCCCATCTCTATCTCATCAACAATGCAGGATTTTATGAAGTGTTTAAAACAAAGTTTTTGAGCCCTTAAGAAAAACGGTGCAATCATTTCGATTGAGAACAAAATACCTGCACTACACTTAACGCAATCTATAGGAAAAGAAGGCGTGGTTTTTGCTATAGACATCAGCGGGAAATGGTAACTATGATATGATGCATCAAACCATGACACGGCATGAAACAATGTGTATATTTGTATTTTTTCGTATATAACCACAATTCCTCAATTTTATACAATACTACAAAGTCATGCTTCCGTAATGTGTTTGAGAATATCAACCAATTAAAAGTAAAGATCTGTGATAGATCATGATTACCCACTATATCGAGAATAACAAAAAAGACTTATAATATCTATTTTCCATTTATCGTTGGATAGACAAATTATAAAAACTTGATTTTGTGAAAAACAGACATGGTTCAAATTTTTACAATAATTGAACTACAATATCCTCTTAACTTGTTCTAACAGATTTTGACAGGGCTAAAAGGAATACGTACGAGATGTCGAAATATCTCACTGTTGTAAATTCAATTCGTTCTTTATCGAAATGACTTATCATCTTTTTCTAAATTCTAATACCTTCTGACGGTTTTTAGATATCAAGATGATCATTTTGGCTATATCAATGTATTTAACAATGAGTTTTGTATGATAACGGTAATTTTGACAATAAACTTAAAATGTCTAGAGTATTTACTTTGTTGCTACAGTGAGAAATCATAGCAGATCGTACATTTTCTTTTCAATCCTTTCAAAATCTAGTAGAACAAGTTAAGAGGATCCTTCACTTCTATCTATTGAATGTCAGAAGAAACAGACGTGAAATAATTTATTTTAATTTCCAGATCTGATCAAAAAGAGTGTTA